GCTATGTGGTCACTTGGGATAGTGATGGATCTTTGGATAGTGATGGATCTAGTGATGATGGCAAGAAATCTATCAAGAAAGCACTAGCAAGCATCGCCATCAACAACAAGCCTTCCATCTTCGACACTCCATCGACATGCCTCATGGCAAAGCCTACCAAGGTAAAATATGTTGTGAGTAATGATGATTGTGAAAGTGATGATTGTAGGAGTGATGATGAGGAGTACACCAAGGAGGATCTCATGGACATGTGTGAGCAAGTGCACACTTGCTTTGAGATGAAGAGAAAGGAGTACAAAGAATTACGCAAGAAGATCAAATCTCTTGAGCAATCCTTTGATGAGCTAAATGCCTCTCATGAGAGTCTAAGGGAAGGCCATGAGATGCTTGGCAAAGCACACTCTAAGCTTAAAAAAGCTCAGTCCTCTCTCCTCAAGCAAGTCAAGGAGGAGGAAGCTAAGAAGGAGCAAGTGATTGTGTCATGTGATGTGGGACTAACATGTGATATTATTGATGAATCTTTTTATAAGCCCATTGTTGTTTCTCCCACTAACCCTTCTTGTAGCACTACTACTTCCACTTCACCTTTGAGTGATGGTTTCACTTGTGATGCCTTACTAATGGTGGAAAATGAGACCCTCAAGAAGGAGGTGAATGAGCTCACTCGTGCCTTAGGCAATACCTATGGTGGAGATGCCCGCTTGCTAAAGTGCTTGGGTAGCCAAAGGTTTTCTCTCAACAAAGAGGGATTAGGCTATACCCCCAAGAAAGGCAATGTGGCTTTTGTCACTCCCAAAGCTAGCTTTGTGAAGGGCAATGGTCGGTTTTGCAATAGATGCAAGCAAGTTGGGCATATAGAGCAATATTGCAAGATTAACAAGAACAAGCAACCTAATGTATCATCAATTAGATTTGATTCTTGTTATATGCTTGTCAAGGGTTCCAATGGTGTGAAGGCTAAGTTCATTGGTACACCAATTATGGGCCCAAAGAAGAATGTCATTTGGGTACCAAAGACCTTGGTAACTAACCTTCAAGGACCCAAGCAAGTTTGGGTACCTAAAAAGAATTGATCTTCTTTTGTAGGTCAATTGTAAAGCCGGAGGAAGGCATTGGGTGCTTGATAGTGGGTGCACACAACACATGACCAGTGATTCAAGAATGTTCTATTCAATCAATGAGAATGAGAGCAATGGGATTGATAGTATCACATTTGGTGACAATAGCAAAGGCAAGGTCAAACGTCTTGGTAAGATTGCAATATCCAATAACTTGAGCATCTCCAATGTGCTACTAGTAGAGAGCTTGAACTTCAACCTATTGTCGGTAGCTCAACTTTATGATCTTGGTTTCAAGTGCATATTTGGTGTGGATGATGTAGAGATCATAAGTTTAGATGACTCTAACTTGATATTCAAAGGATTTAGATATGAGAATCTATACTTGGTTGATTTCAATGCTAGAGAAGCTCAATTGTCAACATGTTTGCTCACTAAGTCTAGCATGGGTTGGTTATGGCATAGAAGGCTTGGTCATTTTGGACTAAAACAATTAAACAAGTTGATTAAGCATGATCTAGTTAGAGGCTTGAAAGATGTCACATTTGAGAAGGAGAAGCTTTGTAGTGCATGTCAAGGTGGGAAGCAAGTTGGCAACACACATCCTAAGAAGAGCATGATGAGCACATCCAAAGCATTTGAGTTGTTGCACATGGACTTGTTTGGACCAACCACATACACTAGTATTGGTGGAAACAGATATGGATTTGTGATTATAGATGATTTCACTAGATATACATGGGTGTTCTTTCTTGTTGACAAGAGTGATGTGTTTGCAACCTTCAAAACATTCATCAAGAGAATTCACAATAATTTTGAAACAACCATCAAGAAAGTGAGAAGTGACAATGGAAGTGAATTCAAAAACACAAGAGTGAATGATTTATGTGATGAGTTTGAAATTAGGCATCAATTCTTGGCCAAGTACACTTCTCAATCAAATGGCCTAGTTGAGAGGAAGAATAGAACCTTGATTGACATGGCAAGATCAATGTTAAGTTAGTACAATGTGAGTCATTCATTTTGGGCCAAAGCAATCAACATGGCTTGCTACTATAGCAACCGACTCTATTTCACCCTATGATGGAGAAGACACCTTATGAGCTCTTGAATGGAAGAAAGCCCAATATTGCATACTTTCGGATTTTTGGTTGCAAAAGCTACATATTGAAGAAAGGCACTAGATTGAGCAAGTTTTAGAAGAAATGTGATGAAGGTTTCTTGCTTGGTTACTTAACTACTAGCAAGGCTTATAGAGTTTGAAATTTGGCTAGTGATACACTTGAGGAGTGAAGAATATAGATATTGGTGATATAAGGCCTAGAGAGGTGATTGAAGTTGAAGATAACAAAGATCAAGTGCTCTCTAACTCAAATGTGCAAGTTGATACAAGTCAAGCTAGTTCATCATCTCAAGTGCACCGCTCTATCCGGTGCCCTCGCGGAAAGCAGCTCCAAGGGGTAATGGCTCTATTTGCTTGTGTGGCTATAAAGAGATGGTGTGGCTGGCCTTGGCCACTCTCTTGGCACCTCATACACTTGTGCACACCCTTTGGAAGTTGAGAAACACACTCCACTTACTTGTTCACTTGATTTCATCATCTTGGGTGAGATTTGAGAGCCTCTAGTGCATTGCATTGAGTTGCATCATCTTGTGGCACTAGTTGGGAGATTTGGGCTGGTTGTGAGCTTATTACTCTTGGTATTTGTCGACACCTAGATGGCCTGGTGATTGGAGGATCATTGAGTGGAGTTGGTGATTGTCTCCGGCCTCGATCGGTTGCTTGTGAGGGGTCTTGTGCCTTCCCCGGCGGAGCGCCAAAGGCAACTCTAGTAAATTGCTCGTGTCATTGAGCTATCTCACTTGTGGGTAGGTTCTTGTGGCGCCTCTTGTGGTGGGCTAGGTGTGTGATACTTATTAGTCACCGAACCACCAAGTGTTGGTCGATACAACGGGGACTAGTGTGTCGGCAAGCCCGTGAACCTCGGAGAAAAATCGTGTCTCTTGTGTGATTGGATTTCTCCCGGTGATTGAATTGTCTTCATCTTGTGATTGGTTCATTCCTCGACGTGGTGGTATAATCACCATACTCACTCTTTTACATTCATTGTAAACTAGTTGTCAAGCTCTTTAGTGTAATTAGTTTTGAGAGCTTGTCTTGCTTCCTATTTTAGTATCACCTAGTGGAGCTCTTTAGTGTAGACTTGTTGAGAGCTCTTACTGAGTAGTGACATAGCCATTGTTTATGCCTAGTGATCATAGCAACTAGAATTGTCGAATAGTGGCTTGCAACCCTCATAGAGCTAGAGCAAAATTGCATTTCGCCATTTGTGTTACTAACCAATTTGCTCTAGTGCTTTATAGAAGTTTGAAATAGGCTATCCACCCCCCTCTAGCCATATTAGAACCTTTCAACTGTACAATTCGAGCCAATCCAAACCTAAAATCAAATCATAAGAGTCCAGGTGCAAAATCCTGAGGTTATGCTGAAATTGATGCCCCTCAATAATGAATTGATAATTCTGAATAGCAGAAGTGCAGCGCAGAAGCTGGCCATTAGCTATCTTCACTGAAGCTTTGACAGGTGAACGCTCAAGATGAGGTAGCTGATCAGCGACCGAAGCGGCCAGAAAAGAGGCAGAGCTGCCAGAATCAACAAGCACGACAACTGGTTTACCATGAATAGTGCCTTGAAACTGAATAGTCCGATGACTTTGTGAACCCATCTGTGCATCATGAGATAAAGCTAGCAGTAATTGCTCAGTTGGTTCCTCAGATGAATCCGGTGACTCCTCAAGAGCAAGCAAGTCCCACAATTCTTGCATGGCATGAAGCTAAATAGTGGGAGGACACTTATGACCCCAGAACCATTTCTCTACACAAAGGTCACACAAACCTTGGGCATGCCTGTACTGTTGAAGTTTCGACAGCTTATTACTCCATGCGTTGCCGGTGTAGCCATTGCAGACGCAGGAGCTAGTTCAGGAGCCTTGTCAGCTTGAGGCGGTCGAGGTAGATTCAGTGCGTTACTGAGATTGTTCTTGTATCCCATGTTAGCACCATACTTGGGATATTCAAACTTCTTCATAGGCTCTGCCACCTCTTCCTATAACAATACCAAAGAATACGTAGTATCGAGGTTTGGAGGACGTTGCATAGTGACAACAACACGAATGTCAGGCCGAAGACCGTCGACAAAACGGGTGGTAAATGTGTGCATGTCAGGATGGTTGGTGTAGGCTTTAAGTTGATCAACTATGCTGGAAAACCTCTCTACATAATCTATGACTGTAGAAGTTTGCTAGATGTGAAACATTTGGCGAAGCAAGGTTTCGTGCTAATCACGAGCAAAACGATCGAGTAGCAGTTTGCAAAATTCAATCCAAGGAATGAGTTGGCTAGGGTGTTCTAATGACTGAATCCAGCGTTTGGCCGCCCCATTGAAATGCATGCCCACGACCTTAACCCAAAGATGAGATGGAACACCATACATATCAAAGTAATTCTCAGCTTGGGTAATCCACAGTTTGGTTGTTTCGCCATCATAGGTTGGAAAATTGAATTTAGGTAGGCGGTGGGTATTTGGGTGGGTATCATCCGGAATGGTGGTGCGAGAATGGATTTCAAGAATATAACCATGGGGAATAGGAATTGACATAGGAATTGTGGGTGTGACATGCGTACCATTGGCCAGGGATTGGTTTGGGGAAAAATTCCCCCAGTACCATCCACCCGTGTAGTCGGAAGAACGCCGTGCCTGCTGGGCCGAGCAACCGATGGTCCCGTAGATGAGTGCGCGGCGGTCTGCTCCACAGTTGGTGGTACGGTGGTGATCAATCAAGTCGACACAGGAGGGTTGTCAAGGACGGAGCGATCATAGTACTTGGTGAGCTTGCTCATCTTCAGTTTGAGGTCATCCACAGCGCCTTCAGATTCCTGACGCTAGGACTCCAGGGAACCCGTGGACTGAATGACGAAGTCAATGCGGGAGTCATGACGCTGCTCGATAGCTGTGAGGAGGGCGGATTGACGAACTTCGGAGTCCGTGATGCGCCGCTCCCAGTTGAGATCAGAGTCAGCAAATCGCTTGGTGAGGGAATCGTCGACCTCGGTGAAGCGCTTGGTGATGGAGTCATCGATCTCGACAAAGCGCTGCTCGAGGCGTTTCTCGCTGTTGACGAGGCGGGCATCCCACTTCCGATCCGCATCGGCGAAGCGTGAATCCCACTTGCGGTCCGACTTGGTGAAGAGGCGATGCATCTCGTCCAGGAGAAGCTTCGACTTAGGATTCATGCCTCTGCGACGGCGAGCGAATCTCGTGTAGTGGGGATGTGGCGGCAGCGGCGGCGGAGGTGGTAGGGTGCGCGTGGTGGATTGCTCCAGTTCGCGGCTCATGAATCGGATCAACGCTTGCTAGGAATTACGGAGATTGAAGATTGAATCGATCGATCCAAGCTCTCAACCTGGAGCAGCTGCGAAGATCAACGATTTGGAGAAGAGAAGAGCGGAAGGGATCTGTTGTCTCTTATACCAGATGGAAGCATAGGAATTGGAAGAACAGAATACAGATCGAAGAGCACAGCAAGGGGATAGTTCAGACGAAGTTCATAGAACAGAGGAGTGCTTAACAATATTACAAGTATTTTGTTGTTTGATGATCTCTCCCTTTCTCTCTCTCTGCCACTTAAGCTACTCTCTCACACCATCTTCAGCTGGGCTGGTCACGCCCACTCTGGGCCTTTGGTTCAAACACTGGGCTTCTTCATACTCATACCACGCCTTGGGCCCAGGATGACATATTCGGTTTGGGCGATGTCGCGTTCACGCTCCTTAGCGACGTCGCTTGTCTTGCCGCCGTGTTCAGAAGCTGACGTAGAAGTGCCGCTAACAGGTGAGTCAGTCCAAAGCGCTGAACGCCAACGGCCGCTGGTTGGTTTCTGGGCTGATAAGCCCGACTGATGCTGGTTTGTTGTGAGAGAAAAATATTGTACCATGGCTGATAAGCCCTGGTTGAAATCAACAAGCAAACAGGCTGCAAGCTGTTCGAGCTGGTGGATCGCTCCATCGACCAGCGCCGCGAGAGGAAGGCTGGAGCAGCTGCCGAAGACGACGGCGCCAACGATGCACGCGACTTGCTCGATGTGCTTCTGAGGCTGCAGGAGCACGACGATGATCTTGGACTGCCCTCTCACCATGGCGACCATGAAAGCTGTCATCCTGGTATATAGTACTACTATCAACATTTTTTTTTTGAGGAAACAGGAAGGGTTTGACCCCCTACTGAAATTTTATTAAAAATAAAAGTCCAAAGAGCAGTACAAGTGTTCAGGAGACAAAAAAGGTCAAGAAAAAAATGAGCAAGATTACACATAAGTTCCTAGCCATTGGTCTATATGTGGGTGGAGCTTAGCTTTCGCTCTTAGAACAACTAAGGCAAATTCCTTCTTGAAGATGAGCTTACAGTTCTGAACTGAGGGTGGAACACCGTTGAAAATGGCATCGTTTCTTACCGACCAGATGGACCAACACAGAGTGACAATCACCTCCATGAAGAAAGGAATGTGCAACTGAATCTTGTGAGCTTCCAGAACTTGATCAAACTCCGAACAATTGGGGACCAAAAGTTGAAGAGTATTCCAGCAAGCCCCCGCAAATGGGCAATGGAAAAACAAGTGAAACAAATCCTCTTCAACAGGGTGGGAGCAAAAAACACAATTGTAGCTGTCTAAAACCATGCCTCTTCGTCGAAGAATCTGTCTGGTATTAAGCCTATCAACCATTAGCAGCCAAAAGAAGAATTTTCGTTTAGTCTGACAAGAAGAACGCCAGAGCCAAAGAAAGCCTCGATGAACCTGTCTGACTGCCAACTAGGTGCTTATATGCTCGGGCTGAAACATAAGCCCCGGTACCCCATGAGTATGGCCAGACATCAGGTGACGATTGGAGGTGAAGGTTCTGGAGGATAGCTACAAGCTGAACAAATTCAGTGGATAAATGGCAACATGAGGGGAGATTTATTATTTTTTATATGACCTCATTAATCGTTACGCGACACATCTCTGCAGGACATGTTTGGGACTGGAAGCAGTACAACATCGACGACGATCCAATGGGCCATGTTAGAGCTGATGAAGAATCCGAAACTGATGCGGAAATCGCAACAAGAGATACGCCACGTCCTGGGATGCAAATCGCGGGTAACAGAGGACGACCTGACCAACCTGAAGTACGTAAAGCTTGTGATCAAAGAAACACTACGGTTGCACCCAGGAACATGCGTGCTCTTCCCAAAAGCGAGTCAGGAATCTTGCAAGATCCTTGGGTATGATGTGCCCAAAGGCATGCTCATGATCATGAATGTCTGGGCGATTAACAGGGACCCAAAATACTGGGATGATGCCAAGGTTTTCAAGCCAGAGCGTTTCGAAGGAACTACCGTTGATTTTCGTGGCACGGACTACCAATTCTTACCGTTTTAGTGGAGGAAGAAGGATGTGCCCGGGCATAATGCTGGCGCATGCCAACATTGAGTTGGGACTCGCGACACTCCTGTACCACTTCGACTGGCAGCTCCCACCGGGGGTCACACCCGATGAGGTAGACGTGGCTGAGAAGTTTGGTGTCGATGTTCGCCCAACGAGGGATGTTTACTTCTGCCCGGTCCTAATTCTGCCACCGAAAATAGAGTAGTCCTAGTATCTAGCTTGCACTCTGCAACTTGTAGCATCAGACGCTAAGGACATGATCCGATAAGATTGTGCGTTTCTTGCTTTCCTGTGCACTTGTGTAACACGTTATTACAATCTCAAAATGTTTATGTGCAGACCCAAAATTCCTTAAGCTACCAGCCATCTTAATTAAGGCTCACTTGGTACTACTAGCTAGTCCCACTTTTCTTAGCACAAATGTTGAGGCTAGGGCGTCTATTCGTCTGGATGATAAAAAAATTCTCTCCACTGAGCTTTGCCTCCATAGCGCCGCCCGCCTATACCGCGGCGTCCGCCCGCCACGGCCGCTCCACCGAACCGGCGAGCCTCATGACGGATACTCCAGCAAACAAGCCAAGGAGGAGCTTCATGTAACGCCACCCCGCCGGCGAGTTGCCCGTGTGGCTGTCGCACCGGTGAGCTCCGCACCGCCACGAGCTCCACGTGCCGGCATCGAGTTCTACAACGACGAGCCTCCATTCGTCCGAGCAGCAGGGTGACATTGCACTAAAATGCATGTTGTAAGCATATGTTTCAAGTGGTTCAGATGTGTTCCAGAGGTATGTTGCAAGTGTTTTATATCGATGTTGCAAAATTAGATCGGAATGCTGTACATGTTGCAATGGCTATACACGTATGTTTTAAGCGTATGTTCCAAATGTTTCATCTATTTCAGACGTATGTTGTAAGTGTTTCATTTGAATATTGCAATAGATCTGGATGTTGCGCGCGCGCGTGCACACACACACACATATATATATAGTGTTTCAGGTGTTTTCATACGCATATTGCAAGTATTTCATCTTGATGTTTGCGTATGTTTGTAATGGCTACACACATGTTTTCAAGTTTTTTCTGGTCTTTTGCAAGTGTTTCAGACATATGTTACAAGTGTTTCATCTAGATGTTGAAAAAGTAGATCGGATGTTGCACATGTTGCAATGGGACCCACCTACTGCAGTCGTCTGCTGCAGCTGCTAGGGCACCGCCGAGCGAGCATAAACAATCCACGCGTGTGGTGGGGCGGTGCGGGCGACGTTCGAACGGCGCGGGCCTCGCGTGGGCATGAGAAATGAAGTGCACGTGCGGGAAACAGGGTGCAGGCACGGGCGTCCGTCCAAACGTCCCGGCACTAGCAATCCCATTTTCTTAGCTACGTCGTAGGAGAAATTATGTGGATCATTAATTGTAAGTATTGCCAGAAATGTGTATAAATTAAATATGAAATATATCAGGCCCTTGTCCTTTCTTATACTACTGTGGATTCCATAACCACCATTGAGAAATAAAACATGTATAGACATCCAAGACAATTTATCATGTTTTCTATAGGAACAAGTTTGTTTTTTGCCCCTTAATTTTTACGTTTGTCTAATTTTAACCCCAAACTATAAAACCTGATAAATTTGACAGCTCAACTATCAGTACCAATCCTTTAATCCCTCGGTCTTCTTTTGGTGTTTTTCAAGTATAGCTTGGGCCTCCCTGTCATATGCTTCATCTCTCCTGCTACCTTGACACTTCCCTCCTGTCCATTACCACCTTCCAATAGCTATGTCTAGCATATACTAGCTTTTGTGCCACTTCTACTGCTCACTAGCCTATGCTATGTGCGAACCACCAAGCCGCCTTGTGTCAATAACCTGCAGTTTTGGCTTCCTTATTAACACTATCGGTTGACACCAAGAGCTGACAGTGTTAGCTCAACAGAACACTGCCAGCTCGTGTAATGAACCGACAGTGAAGATTGTGATCGCTGCCTATTGAAAAAACCCGGCACTGATGAGAACCCTCCATCATTGTCGATTTGCTTGTCCAGTTCAAAATCCGACAATAAAAGGGCGGTTTGAACCGGTAGTGATGTGCCGATCTAGGGTAGTGAGAATCGGTTGTGTGGACACGATTGACTGTGCAAATGTAATTTCACGGTTGATTTGAGGCAAGAAACTGACTGAAAAAATGTTTTCACGGTCAGTGAACTAACTGCGAAAAAATATTTTCAAAGTTGTTAGGATGGAAGACCGACTGTGACAATGCTTTCACAGACGGTCGCTGGCCTGTCTGTGTAAATACTGATTTTCAATAGCCACCACCGTGTTTGATCAACATACGAAGTAGGAGTAGCTTCCAAGAGGACCAGCGCTGGCATTAAAAATGAGGGCGTGTTTACATCCAAAAAATTTTGGGTGTTGCGTACTGTAGCACTTTCGTTTTTATTTGGTAATTAGTGTCTAATTATAGACTAATTAGGTTCGAAAGTTTCGTCTCGCAATTTCTCATCTAACTATGCAATTAGTTTTTTTTTTCGTCTACATTTAGTACTACATGCATGTGTCGCAAGATTCGATGTGACGAATACTGCGCAAAAAATTTTGGTTTTTTGATGGAACTAGACGGGGCCTGACTCAGATACGGCTCGTGATGTTTTCCACACCTGCTACCAGCAGACCTTTATTTATTGTGGTGTGAACACCACGCAGTCAACTGGTCACCAAGGCTTTGTTTAGATTTCAAGTTTTTTCACTCTTTTTCTGTCACATCAAATCTTTGAATATATGCATGGAGTATTAAATATAGATAAAAAATAACTAATTACACAGTTTGATTGTAAATTACGAGACGAATCTTTTGAGCCTAGTTAGACCATGATTAAACAATAATTATCAAATACAAATAAAAATACTATAGTGTCGAATACTGATTCCTAACCACGAACTAAACGAACGAGGCTCAAATCAAATTGAAGCGCTCCTGCGTGCCGATCCTTCCATCACAAAATGAATAAACAAACATGGGTGAGTGTGTGAGTGTCGCACGTTTCAACGCGAGAGGGAATGCAGCAAAAGCTTCCTTCGTTCATTCTGCCCGCATAAGAAAGCGAGAAAGTGACTCCAACGGACCAAATCAGCAGCGGGCTGCTTCAGTGCTTCTCCAAAAATCGTTTTGAAAACAACTTAACTGCTATTTTTTTGCTATAAAATATTTACAAAATATAGTTAAAAATATTTTTATGAAACTATATTTCAAGAAAATTCTACCTACATCACTTTTATATTTCTAAACTTAACAATAAACAAAATTATTTATAGTCTAAATTTAAAATATTTGACTGAAAGCAACCTTAAAACAACTTGCTTTGAGGAACCTGTGGGAGTAAATAAATCCAACTGACGTGTAAATAATTTGGATTCCAGTGTGAGCAGGTGACCACGGACGGAAGCGCCCGCCCAGGTCGTAGGCACGAGACAGTAGTCCCCGTTCCCGTTCTCACTACCTTATAGCATCTCCAAAAAATATCATATTTTGTCTTCCTAAAAATATAATGTTTTCTAACTCCTAAAAAAATATTGAGAGGAATAAAGACGGTCATCTCCAAAAGTTTCTAATATTCCACTTCTAAAATATCGAAAGGTCGGTCCAGGAGTTGTGATGTTTTGCATCAGGAATCCTAAATTCGTTTCTATATCCATTTAAGTCCTCCCACCATATCTCTCTCTTGCGATTTTCTCACCTGAAACCCTATATTTCCTCCTTTTCCTCTCCCACGTGGAGACCATGGGAGAAAATGACGGCGCAAAAGGAGCCCGCGACGGGGAGGGCGGATACGCGCGACGGGCCATCCGCATATCTTTACGCGCATCGGGCCTTTTTTCAAGTGCTAAAAGACTAGGAGGTCATTTTAGGAGTTGTTGGAGATGGATCTTTTCCATTCTTCCTAAAAAACAAGGATTGGGAAGAATTATTAGGTACTCTTGGAGATGCTCTCATTCCTCTGTCAGGTCCTGCCTTCGGTTTCGTACCAGGAGGGCATGTGTCCTGTCGTTGTTCCCTAGCGTATGACGGCACGAGGCCTGAGGGCAATTCCGACCGAGCTCCCATATAGACTTCTATCCTTTTTTTAGGCTCGGGACTTAAAAACATAGCTCTAACCGAAAGCCTCATCCGACCCCCGATGGATGAGGCATTCTCATTCCTCTCACCTAAACCTCAGATGTAGGAGTTCATCATCCTCTCCCCTATGCATTCCTCTCCTCTTACAAGGCTGACAAGTGAGCCCAATAAATGGGATACATGATAATATAGTGTAAAGTAAGAAAATTTTAAAGGATCAGTTGTGTGCTGAGAAGTAGGAGCTTAAATATGAACGAGGGACTCTCGTTCCAGGAGACAGGGGACCTAAATTTGACGAATAGTTTGGAGTTGCCCTGACGGCGGTGGCAGCTGCTTGAAAACCACGTCCTCATCAGAGAACACCCTGCAACCAAGCATGTCACTTACTTCCGTTGCCACCGCTCTCGTCGTTGTTCTCGCGTGTTCCATCACGGCAGGACTTCCCGGTGCGGTGGCGTCGGGGGACACCGTCTCGGCGCGGCGGCCGCTGCGGGGCATCGACACGGTGGTCTCGGCGCAGGGCAAGTTCGAGCTCGGACTCTTCAGCCCCGGCGGCTCCGGCCGGTTCTACCTCGGCATCTGGTACAAGAACGTGCCCGTGCAGACCGTCATCTGGGTCGGCAATCGTGTCAATCCCCTGTCCGGTTCCGGTGTTGCCTCCACCGAGCTCCGGGTGTCCTCCGACGGGAACCTCGAGCTCGTCGGGCTCAGCCCATCCTCTGCCACGCCAGGCGTCCTGTGGTCGTCGAACCTGTCGTCGTCTTCGTCGGTGTCGTCCTCGCCGGGGTCGAACGTTGCTGTGATGCGTGACAACGGCAACCTGGTCCTCCTCGACGGCGGCAACTCCTCCAACGTGCTGTGGCAGAGCTTCGACCACCCGACGGACACACTGGTGCCCGAGGCGTGGCTCGGCGAGGACAAGCTCACCGGCGAGTACCAGACGCTGACGTCGTGGCGCAACGCCGAGGACCCCGCGCCGGGGATGTTCACGAACACGGTGGACCGCAACGGCAGCAGCGAGTTCTTCTACCTCTGAACGGCTCCCGCGCCTACTGGCGCAGCGGCGTCTGGACGGGGCGCGTGTTCGCCAACCTGCCGGAGGCCGTCAACAACGTGCTCTTCAACCAGACGTACGTCGAGACGCCGGCGTACCGGCGCGTCACCAGCGTGCTCTACGACAACGCGACCGTCACGCGCATGGTGCTGGACCTCACCGGCCAGACGAAGCAGTTCATCTGGGTCCCCGGCAGCCAGAGCTGGCAGTTCTTCTGGGCCGCGCCCACCGTCCAGTGCGACGTCTACGCGCTCTGCGGCGCCTTCGGCGTCTGCAACCAGAGGAGCCAGCCGCCGTGCCAATGCCCGCCCGGGTTCGCTCCGGCGGCGGACCGGGACTGGGGCCTCAGCGACTGGAGCGCCGGGTGCCACCGGAGCCTGCCGCTGCAGTGCGGGGGCAACGGGTCAACGGACGCCTTCCTGGAGCTGCCGGGCATGAAGCTCCCTGACGATTCGCTCTCCGTGGCGGGCGCCCAGAGCAAAGCAGAGTGCGAGTTGGCTTGTCTAAACAACTGCTCCTGCCAGGCCTACACGTTCTCTGGCGGTGGCTGCGCCGTCTGGCACGACGGAATCCGCAACCTTCAGCAACTGTTTCCAGATGCCGGGGGCGGGGGTTCGTCGTCGTCGAGCCTGTACCTCCGGCTGTCGGAATCTGAATTGCAGCAGCGTATGCGCGGCGCCAAGGGGAAGAACAGGCGGAGGCTGTGGCTCGCCCTTGGCATCGTTTTGGCTTGCATTGCCGCACTGGTCGTGGCGGCAGTAGCAGCGTGGATCCTTGTGTCCAGGAGGAGACGACGGGCTGAAATGGCGAATCAGAAGAGCTCTTCCCTTGCAGTGTACAGCTATGGCGACCTCCGCTCGGCCACGAGCAACTTCTCGGAGCGGCTGGGCGGCGGAAGCTTCGGCTCGGTGTACCGCGGCGTGCTGAACGGAGACGGACACACCCTAGTGGAAGTGGCCGTCAAGAAGATGGAGGGCCTTGGGCAGGGCGACAAGCAGTTCCGGACGGAGGTGAACACGCTGGGCCTCATCCAGCACGTCAACCTCGTCCGGCTCCTCGGCTTCTGCTCGTCCGGGGACGAGAAGCTGCTCGTGTACGAGTACATGCCCAACGGCTCCCTGGACTCGTACCTCTTCGGAACCGGTTCGTCATGCCCAAGCTGGCGCGACCGCTACGGCGTCATGGTCGGCATCGCCAGGGGGCTGGCCTACCTGCACGAGGGCTGCCGCGAGCGCATCATACACTGTGACATCAAGCCGGAGAACATACTTCTGGACAGGGTTTTCACGCCCAAGATCGCAGACTTTGGGATGGCGAAGCTGGTGGGGAGGGACTTCAGCCGGGCCCTGACCACGATGCGGGGCACCATCGGGTACCTCGCGCCGGAGTGGATCTCCGGGCTGCCGATCAGCGCCAAGGCCGACGTGTACAGCTTCGGAATGGTGCTCTTCGAGATCATCTCCGGGCGGCGCAACACCGAGGGGCACGGCGCCTCATGGGACGACAGGGACGGCGGCGACCGAGAGTCTACGTTCTTCCCGGTCTGGGCAGCGGTCAGAGTGGCGGAAGGGGACACGGCCGCCGTGGCGGACGCACGGCTGCGCGGCGACGTGAGCGAGGACGAGCTGGAGCGCGCCTGCCGGGTGGCGTGCTGGTGCATCCAGGACCAGGAGGCACACCGGCCGGCCATGGCGCAGGTCGTGCAGGCGCTGGAGGGCGTCGTCGACGTCGACATGCCGCCGGTGCCGCGGGCGCTGCAGCACCTCGCGACGCTGACATAATCGTCTGTGCTCTCCAGTCTTGACACAGAAGCCGCCATGCTTTGTCAGTTAGTGTACCATTTTCTTTCTTTCTTTCTTTTTCCAAGGAAACAGGATATTAGGCCAGCCCCATCGCTCCGGCTTAGACAGTCTCCAACGGTGTTGGCAAATCGTGACACATCCCCAAAATGCATAGTGCACAGTGCTTTTGCGGTAAAAAACCACCCTCCAACGGAGTACCAAACACGGGAGGCATTTTGCGTCGGAGGCAACACGGTACCCAAACTTGCGTCCTCTCTCCATCCCTTTGCGTCTCCTCCACGCGAGCTGCTGCTGGTCCGGGACCGCGGTGCCTCCACGACGGTGAGGCGGGACCGTGGCGCCGGCGGGGAAGCATAGCAGTGGTAGGTGGAGGAGAAGCATAGCACGGCGGTGGCGGTGAGGAGCTCGGCTCTGGCCGCGGTCGGCTCCGACAAAGGGTGGCGGCGGGTGGACGTAGCAGTGGGGGCGGGTGGAAGAAGCAGAGCACGACGGCCACCACCACCACCACAGCCGCCGCCCACCACCACCACCACGCAGCACTGGCCGCCACCGGTTGGATCCGGGAGAGGGAGAGCCGGATCGGCCGGATCCGGGAGAGGGAGGGCCGGATCCGGCCGCCACCGGAAGGGCCGGGGAAGAAGAAGAGGAGGGAGGGCCAGATCCGGCCGGGGAAGAAGAAGGGGAGGGAGGGCCGGATCCAGCCGGGAGAGGGAGGGCCGGGGAAGAAGAAGGGGAGGGGAGGGGCGCTGGCGGCAGGGAGAGGCGGGGTGCTCGGGGCGCTGGGGCGGGGTGCTCGAGAGTGGAGGGGTCGGCGGGGCGTTCTGTTGGAGAAGGCTAACTTTTGGGTGGTGACCTTTTTCCTGTGCCGGACTCAAATCAAGTAATAGGTGTTGTATTTAGGTCCTCATCGTTGGAGTCGGTCTTATAGCCCCCAGCTTCCACGTCGACGCCCAGCGTCTAAATCACCGGTATTGATGGCTTCGCAGAGGTTCAGAGGTGTCTGCAGAAGTGACTAGTGCCTTGGCCAACAAAAGGTTAAAGAACCTGTTAAAACAAGCGTTGTGGAGGAAATTGCTGGTGCCTCATCCCTAAAGATGAGCAATGGGCCGGCACGGCACGGTACGGCACGGCCCGAGCCCGGGCCAGGCACGCCCCGATCGGGCTCGGGCCCTTTTGGTCCGCCGGGCCACCGGCCCGTGCCTGAACAGTCCACCGTGCCTGTCGGACGGCCCAGGCACGGTCCGTGGGCCGAATATCGGGCCGTGCCAGCCCGTTGAGCCCGCGGCCCACTGGTCCATCGGGCCAGCCCATAGCCCGTTACACAGTAAACACCATATTTAACAGCATAATTACAGGTTCACATATTCATATTTAACAATCACAGAAACACCAGATGACAAAAGATTTGAGCTTTTTATGCAATGCCGCCTCATTAAAAACCATTCTAGGTAAAACTCACACCTCGTGAGATAAAACCCTAGAAAGGAAAATAGTACGACCAGCTCAATAAATTAAAACGGGCCTCCACCGGGCTGGCCGTTGTAAAACGGGCCGTGCCGTGCCGCCCGGCGGGCCGAGGCCTTAGCCCAAGCCCAGCCTGCTACGGGCTTCGGGCCGGCACGGGCCCGGTTAGGGTTCGGGCCGTGCCGTGCTCGAGTCGGGCCCAATAACCGTGCTTTGGGCCGGGCCTTTGGCCCACGGGCTGCATGCACATCTTTACTCATCCCACGGAATGGTAAAAAGGTCTGACAAATGGTTCTGACTAAAGGCATCAGCCCATGCTGCCTGTGTTGCTGTGATATGCGTCCCCGCGTCTTCCTGCGTGCGTGGCCTGTATAATTTATCTGGGGAATACGACTCTGTTAGCCCGCGTTGAGCGTGGCCTTACTGTGACGGCTTCACTCCACTGGCCCTTGTATTCCACTTCCTTTTATGCTCTCCAGTCTCCACAACTAATAATGGAGCAATTTGGAACAACAAGAGGTGATGTCCAATGCTTCTACGCTTACCAATTATATATTTGATTAATCTGTTTACAATATGCGTCACTAGGTTATCATTCATCATCGATAAGCCACCTATCTAAGCATTCCATAAATGACGTGTTTGGTAGAGATCCAGATTCTTAGATAAATGTTTCGGATCTAGATTCTATCTAGAAACATTTCTTAGGAGAAAGAAACAAAATCACCTACTAAAAATGTTTGGTTGACTGTTTGGATTTAGATTTCATAAAGAGAAGAATGTGGTGGAATTGACCGATGTACCCTTCGTCATATGATACTTTTCTTGAATATGGAGAAATAAAATGTTTGAAAAATATGAGTAGTATTAATTAATCCATTGACACATTATTGGACTACACAAAATCTCAGTGGCACAGAGTGTGACACCTTGTGTCACTACAAACATGTTATGCACAAACTCATGTCAGCATTCATCTCATATAATGCGCATTAATGTTGCAAAAATGCTGAAAAACAAAAAAATATGTGGATTTGTTTGAATTGTGCAAGTTGTGGTCATTTTGGGTTATTTGCAAAGCTAGATCCTTATAAGAACTTAATAACAACTCTTCAAAAAAAAACCCAAACTAATGTTTGAAGTACGAACTTAGGTCTAATTACTAGAATGGGAATGGATGTCAAAGTTCTGTGTCAAGTATTTCCCCACAACTACGAAAAACTATAAATGAAAATCATATTCTGAGCTGTCACTTAATTGATGACTACCAGTTTTCAACTCAAAATTTAAATACAACTTCAAAGACAACTTTTCATAGATGTGGTATGACTAGCTTCACCAGATCATCTTATAGATGCTTAAAAATTTTGAAATCGTTGGACATTATTTGCTATTTTTCATAGAGGAGGTCTATAGGCCTCGCCAACTTCTTGATTGGCCCAAATCTCAGCTCCGTGCAAATGTTCCTTTCCGGCCTTTCCCCACATACCATCGGTGGACAAGTTCGTCTGGGCGAGGGAATACCTCTTAACAAAGTACTCGTTGCACTTGTGAAATGAGAACTCAACGATGCCCGACACTAGTAGGCTTCGAACTCCCCTGAAAACTTTGTTTAAAGACTCGGAAGTGTTCGTGGTCATGATGCCGTACCTAAAGCCACCCTCATCATATGCTAGTGCCCACTTAGACTTGTGCTGCATCTGCTCCTCCAACCATGCCTTCGCCTTAGTGTTCAGTAATTTGTCTACTTCTCTCTTTCTCTCCTCAAACTGATGTTCTGAACATGCACAACATAGGGCCTTTACCTTGTCTACAACCTCCTTCTTCCTTTGATGGCGCCAGAAATTAGCGTCGAAATGTCTCATGCACCATCTGTGCTCAAGAGGCGGGTAACCATCAATCTCTTCTCTAGATGCATTATGCAATCCGATGTGCCGACCTGAGATCATACATACCCGCCGAGAGGTGCGAAGCACATGTATCCGTAGAAGCTACATGAACCATGACCATGAATTGTTGTTTTCTCCCTCTACCAATGCAAATGCTAGTGGCACTATCTGATCCTCCGGATCAATAGCTGCGGCCATCATCAACACGCCCCTATACTAGCCCATAAGGAAAGTGCCATCAGCGAGTATGACTAGGCGACAATATTAGAAAGACTGTTATGTGTACGAAAAGGACCAAAAGACACGTTGCAGGACATGTGTTATGAGACTAGTAGAGGAGACAAAGTACTTCCCTCCGGTGTATGGAAACCATCTCAAGCCAAGGTTGTAGTAAGCCATTGCACACAGTATCATAGGAACTCTGTTGTACGCCTCCTTCCAACTACCCCAACGATTCTGAGGGTCATATATTGATTTCCTTGACAACTGTAGGTCAGTGTCACAAACAGCCTCGTCGATCATGCTAGTGTCCCCGTAGTTGGGAACATCACTATAGGGTACGTTGACTGACCTCAGTTGCATCATCTCAGTGGCCGTGTAAGGCTCAGGGGGAATGTACTGTCGTGCTTCGCTCAACCTCACCCATGAATCATAGTGAGTAGCTTCCTCTACGTCAGTAGGAACTTGCACACATCTCTGACTCCTGTGTCCACATATGGATTCACGTACTGGTCACCATCGCCTTCTGAGTTACCTTCACCTTCTTCACCATCTAAGTCTTCTTATCACCGTCAGTATGGCGAGGCGGCAAGAAGTCAAATTATTGTGATTTCCTCCACCGGATCATAAGACCATTTGACGGTGCTATATTATTTCATCCCCGGATGCAACGGGGTGTGTCCATCCATCTTCAAAACGTTAGTGAAAACTTCACACCTGTGCCGGTTCCTTAGCGTGTCGCGCATTGGATGAACAGCTAACGGCGATAAACGTTCTACCGTCGGTTTGGCGTACAATACGGTGGTGAAGTTCAGCAACTTGTTCACCGTTGGATCATACGCCGAGACAGTGGTGAAAACTTTTATCACCGCCGGTTAATCAACCAAAAGGGGTCCCTCAAGCCACAAGCCGACAATGATAATTATCACCGTCGATCGTCTCAAAACCGTTGGTGAAAGTCTTGGCGGTGATTAAACTTTCTGTAGTAGTGGAAGGATCAACAATGCAAGGCAAATTGGAGACAACTCGAAAACCCCATTCTCATTTGTTTGCTAATTTGAACTACATAACCCCTAATCTAATTGTCATGGCATGGTGGAAGAAGCATGACAGGCATTGGCTCCATTCCAAATTGTAAGTCATTTAGGCTTTTCTAGATCCCGTAGATTTTGCTATGCATCTAGATATACTTTATGTCTAAATATATAGTAAAAGCTATGAGTCTAGAATAGTCAAAACGGCTTACGATTTGGAACTTATGGAGTAGATCCATAGGTAAGTGAGAAGGAGAGGACTATGTGCTTGTGTAGATGTGTTGGTTTTCTTATATACATCCCATTTTTCATCAGGCAATCTGAATATTGCCCAACCAATTTATATAAATTAAAAATATATTAGGCCATCCAT